AAAAAAAAAAAAAAAAAAAAAAAAAAAAAAAAAAAAAAAAAAAAAAAAAACACAGAGCAGGCTGGGTGCAGGGTGGCTCATGCCTGTAATTCCAGCACTTTGGAAGACTAAGGTGGGCAGATCACCTGAGGTCAGGAGTTCAAGACCAGCCTAGCCAACATGGTGAAACACTGTCTCTACTCAAAATACAAAAACTTAGCTGGGCATGGTGGCATGTGCCTGTAATCCTAACTACTCAGGAGGCTGAGGCAGGAGAATCACTTGAACCTGGGAAGTGGAGGTTGCAGTGAGCCGAGATCATGCCATTGCACTCCTGCCTGGGTAACAAGAACAAAACTGTCTCAAAAAAAAAAAAAAACCAACAACAGAAAAACTATAGTACATCCATTTAAACAGCCATTACAAAGAATGATGTCCACAAAAAGCAATTTATTTTTTAAAATGGGGGACTGTTACTATCTGTGTGTTGTTTTGAGAGAAGGTCTCGCTCAGTCTCCCAGCTGGGGTGTAACAGCACAATCACAGCGTATTCAGCCTCCACCTTGTGGATTCAATCCATCCTCTCACCTCAGTTTCCCTAATAGCTAGAACTACGGCGCGTACCACCACGCCTGTCTAATTTTTGGATTTTTGGTGAAGAAGGGGTTTCGACATGTTGCCCAAGCTAGTGTCAAACTCGTGGACTCAAGCATTCCACCCACTCAGACTTCCAAAGTGCTGGGACGCCAGACGTGAGCTACCGCACTGGGCCAACACTTGGGTTTTTAAACAAATGTTTGTGTAAATAGAAAACCATCAAAGGATACAAAGCAAATTATTCACAGTGTTTACCTAAGGAAACAGGAACAGGACGGGGCACAAGGAAACTACACTTCTAACTTTGTATTCTTGTCTATCACTTGATTTTATAATGATAAAACAAAAACATACACAAAGATTTTTTTTTTTTTTGAGACAGTTTCGCTCTTGTTGCCCAGGCTGTAGTGCAATGGTGTAATCTCCACTTGCCGCAACCTCCACCTCCCAGGTTCAAGCGATTCTCCTGCTTCAGCCTCCCATGTAGCTGGGATTACAGGCATGTGCCACCATACCTGGTATCTAGCCTAGACTGCCCTGTAAGGACTCTAGAAACCATTTTCTCAGGGAGACTCTTGTAAAACTTTCCCTTAGTAATCTCAAATAAAGTGACTACCAAGAGAAAGCCTGACTGAGGCATAATAGCATTCAAACACATTCAACACAGTTTCACATATCTGTTGGATCAACCTCGGGTATCCCATTTCAAATCTTAATCTTTTTTTGAAATAGAATTCAACTTCTATTTTAGCTTCTGGGGGTATGTGCAGGTTTGCTACACTGGTATACTGCATGATGCTGAGGCTTGCAGCGTGACTGATCCCGTGACCCAGGTAGTGAGCACAGCAGCCAACAGTTAGTTCTCAACCCTCGCCTCCCTCCTTCCCTTCCCCACCTAGTTGTCCCCAGTGTCTAATGTTGTCATCATCATGGTCATGAGTACCCAGTGGTTGGCTCCCACTCACAAGTGAGGACATGCAGTATTTGGTTTTCCATTCCTGTCTTAATTCACTCAGAGCAATGGCCTCCAGCTGCATCTGTGCTGCTGCAAAGGGCATGATTTGGGGTTTTTTTGTGGCTGCACTAATCTCAACATAAAAATAGTTTGAGTTCAAAAAACAGTTAATTCCATCCATATGAGACTGGTTTAATAAATTACAGTACAAACAACAGAATGCTACCTGTAATTTTTTTTTTTTTTTTTTTGAGATGGAGTCTCTCTCTGTCACCCAGGTGGGAGTACAGTGGCCGAATCTCGGTTTACTGCAACCTCTGCTCCCCAGGTTCAAGAGATTCTCCTGCTTCAGCCTCCTGAGTAGCTGGGACTATAGGAGTGCACAGCCACACCCGGCTAAATATTTTTAGTAGAGATGGTGTTTCCCCATGTTGGCCAGGCTGGTCTTGAATTCGTGATCTCAAGTCATCTGCCTGCCTCGGCCTCCCAAAGTGGGGGGATTACAGGCGTGAGCCACTGCACCTGGCCCGTAAATTTTTTAAAATTAGTTTAGAATTGTAAGTAATTATAAGTACCAATAATATGTATATTATATATCGTTATGTCTAAAAAAAAGCAAATGCAGAACTATAATAGAATACAATTTCAGTTTTGTAAAACACTTTTAAAAATATATATGTACACACATGGATATTGGCATGTAGCACTTGAAAAAAATAATCTGAAACAATACTACTCCACACCATTAAAGTGTTACCTCTTTTTTCACAATCTTGTCTAAAAGTAAAAAATAAAAAATAAAAATTAAAAAAAAACATAGTGTTACCTCTGAGGTATAGGATATGGTGATGGGAAGGTATAAAAGGGCACTTTCTAATCTAATTAAAATTACATCCTTCTGACATATTTGCATTTTTTTAAAACTGTATTTATCATTGTTTGAAGTGGAAAATGCAAATTAGAAAAAATTATTGGTAAGTGTGAAGGACACTGATTCAAAGATACTCTAGTTTAAAAGAAAAATGCTATGTATGTTCATCTCAATATTTATTGAATGCTACTCTACAGGATGTTGAAATCACCATCCTATATAGCTTCATAGTTCACATTGTTTTCACACAGGTTATCTGATGTGATTCTTACACACACCTCTATAAAGTTGGCAAGGTAAGCCGTATTATCTTCATTTCCCCAGTTAAGAAACTACGCGTCAGGGAAAGGAGCTAACTCACAATCATAAAACTATCTAATCAGTGAGAGCACTGGGACTCCTTAACTTATTGTCTTCCAGTAAGAATGTGCAAGTGAGGCCGGGCGCAGTGGCTCACGCCTATAATCACAGCACTTTGGGAGGCCGAGGCCGGTGGATCACGAGGTCAAGAGATCGAGACCATCCTGGTCAACATGGTGAAACCCCGTCTCTACTAAAACTACAAAAAATTAGCTGGGCATGGTGGCGTGTGCCTGTAATCCCAGCTACTCAGGAGGCTGACGCAGGAGAATTGCCTGAACCCAGGAGGCGGAGGTTGCGGTGAGCCGAGATCGCGCCATTGCACTCCAGCCTGGGTAACAAGAGTGAAATTCCGTCTCAAAAAAAAAAAAAAGAATGTGCAAGTGGCTGTCTGCAGTGCTCTCCTGCAGCTGGCTCCCAGATGGGTGTAGAGGTGTGGGTAACCTGAGGCACAACTGGTGCAGTCTGTAGCAGGGGAAGGGCCAGGCCTCTGTGTGGACACGCAAATGCTCCATATAAAAAGCAAACCCCAAGCTAAGCTATCGCCTCATTCATCCTGCCCTAAGGAATCAGGCACCGCAGTCTTTAAATAAAAATTCCAATCATTCTCAAATATAAAACGTCTAAAAAATAAAGTAGACATATGCTTACCTCTATGGTTCCTGTGGCAAACAAGCCATGCACTGAATTTATGTCACAAACATTATTCTCCCTAACACAGAAAAGCAGTAAGAGAGAAAGTATTAGCTCCTACTCAAGGGGGAAGGAGTATTAAATAAACAGTCAACCCAAATTCTAGGGAGATGCTCTTTCACTAATCTGCCAATGGAAAACACCAAGGTATGAAAGGGTTAAGTGCTTGGCTCACAGTCACTGGAGTTTCTGATCCTCAGGGTGACACTCTACCTGCTAGGTGACAAACAAGTAAGGACTTCAATACTATTCCACCACCAGGAGAAGAAAGGGCCATTCTATTTTTTCAAGGTATTTTCTTCCAAGGAAGGTAACATTTTTAAAAGAACACAGGCTATCGCCATGACAATGCTGAGCCTTGACAAGCTTGTCCTGGGTATGTCACTCTAAGTCTTATTTTCTTTCTCTGTAAAATGGCTGTTTCACCTTGCGGGTTGTTATGGAGATTAAATGAAAAAGACTGCAAAGTGGTCAGCAGTGTCTGGAGTATAGAGGACACTCAATGCATTGTGAAGTTACCACAATTTCCTTAAAATAAAAATAAAAGCATTTCTAGCCAATGTGAAAAAAAATACCGGAATTTACTTGTTCTTATCACAATATGTTCGTCTAACCTTAAAAAATCCTCTCAAAGCAATTCAGCAGGCTCCTCATAATATACAATGAGAAGTAATCCAGCTTCCACGGTTGACAGGTGTGTGGCCTTGGGCAAACTATTTACCTCTCTGAGTCTCAGCTGCCCTATCTGTAAAATGGTACTTACCAAAAAATCTGTTCTAAGTTTAAAATGAGTTAATAAAAGTAAAAGGACTGAATAACACCTGGCACAAAGTAAGTGCTTTCCCACTGTGTTTATGGCTGTTATTTGTTGTGACGATGATCATGGATTCATTCCTAAATACTTCTGCTGCAGAATTTATATGCGTAGACTAAAATGTATGATAAAAGGAAACCTTTAAAACCCTTAAATGTCTGCTAGCAATACATAAAAATGTTAAAATGACACTCCAAGTTAATTCAAGATTTCTCCACAGGAGAAAATATCACAAAACAAAACCATGAATGCAAATTCAAAGAACATTGCAAATAATAATAAACTGAGGGCCGGGCGCGGTGGCTCAAGCCTGTAATCCCAGCACTTTGGGAGGCCGAGGCGGGTGGATCACGAGGTCAAGA